AAAAGCTACAGTAAAAACCAGTTAAATGTTTAACAGTAAAATCCCCTACTATATACGGTGAAAAACTGTATTGGACATTACGTGTAATTTTATGGAAAAATAACGTATAATTTAGATTGAATAACCATAAATTGACATTCCCAGAATTTGTCTGCATTACATTTCAAATTTGATGTTTTTTTTGCTGTTGAAATAACTATGTTTCTTCTTAGTTTTGTACATTAGGGTTGTATGTTACAGCTAATGTTGTTAAATTAATGTTTATTGCATTATTTCAGTTTCATGTGTTACCGTGATGGTGTTTAATGTTTGTGTGAATGACACTGTGCACCTTCTAGATATGTTAATATATTTAAAAGCTGCTTATGATGGGCTTTGGTTCATCATGTGACTTTCTCATCATCACCTGCTTTTGATGGTTATCAGTGTATTACAAAGGTACAAAAGAGATTTCAGTACTTCAATAGGTTGGTATATTTTATATTATATCAGTTAATGAAATTACAGTATTTACATGTAAATTAAATTAAAACTGTAAAACCTAAAATGTTGCTACCATATGTTTACAGTAAAATTCTGGCAACAACAGCTGCTGTTTTTTTTTACCGTAAATTAAGGATTTTTTAAAGGATATATATATATATAGAGAGAGAGAGAGAGAGAGAGAGAGAGTGTTATTTTTTAGTTTAAAAATAATAATATTTTTCAATATTACTGTTTACTGTGTACTTGTTCAAATAAATGCAACCTTGGTGAGCATAAAATAATTAAAAAAATAAAATAAATAAATGAAAAACATCATATTATGAATATGACATTATGAAAAAACATTAAATATCATATTCAGATTTCAAAGTATGAAAGAACTTGCAAACTGTTAATTAGGAGATGGTTTTATCCAAAACAATTTACCATATAATTATTACAGCAACAGTCATCCTGAGGTTAGACACACATAATCTAAATTATAATTAAACATATTAATTTTTAATAGGACTGAACAATATATTGACTTCAGAGGTATTTAATTATGTATTTGTTTGTTTATATTTGTATGTAATTTTTTTTATTAAATTAACATTTTCAACCCTAATGAAGTGAGACACTAATAATAATACTACAAAGAAAAATAAATCAATAAAATAAAATAAAATAAACATCTGATGCATGTGCACATGAAGACAAATTCAGACAGCGTAGACAGAACTCGACAGCACATCTTGTGTGTATGACCCCTAATACTGTATCTTTCCGCTCTCTGTCATCTCTGCAGGGAGAAGGAGCGAAATCTCACCCAGGCAGGACAGCCTGTGATCCAGCCTCAGCGTCCGGACGGCGCTAGATTCACTGGAGGAGGCTTCAGTTTTAAGCAGCACAACAGGATGGCACTTCAAGCTCTGGAACAGCAGTCCTGATGCCCACCAGAGCCCTCTGAGGACCCTCTTCACCCATCATCGCCTCTTGATAGACCGTATTTTCTCATATTTATTCAGCTCTATTGGTCCTGGCCAACTACCCAGTCAGCTGCTGTAAGTCATGCACTAAAGTCAGTTCTTTTTGCCTCCTGGAATAAATAAAGTCTATTGTTTTCACTCAAAAGTTTCTGTTTCATTCTGCACTAAACACTTACACAAATCCACACACAAACACAGTCTCTATTTGACTCTCTAGTCCTCTGACGCTCTGTTTGTCTGTGTCGCTCTCAGATGTAGTGTACTCTTGTTTTCTAGTGTGCAGGTGCTGTTGGCTGCCGAGTATAATATGACACTCTGTGTACTTGCCCCTATCCTCAACAAGTATGTGTAATGAATTTTATTCTGGTTGGTCTAAGAGCCTACATACTATAATTGTTTCTAAGCCATTTTGTACATACAATCACATACCAAAACCTAGTGAGCTGCCTTGGTGTCAACTGCCTACATAAGCAGCATCCTAACTGAAATTAAGTCTCATAAGTTTCCAATTTGGAATGCTTTACATAAACAGAATAAAGGGGGTGAATAAAGGCCTCCTGTAGCGAATCGATGCTTTTTTGTAAGAAAAATTTGTGTAGGCCAATGTAAGCTATTCCTTTTTATGTAAGCCTATAGTTTTATTCTGTTTTCTCCGTTCACAAGCACTGCAGGTGTGCGAGATCTGTTGAATCCATCTTACACTACCCTAGGATAAACTCTAATGTATTGCCATTGCGACTTACCTATGATGAGTTTACAGCTGAGCGCGGGCATTTCACGTGTTGGATGCGTCAGCGTCACATCTGCATTTCTGAATTCCTGACTGGTTGACAGCAAATTTAAAATATTAAATGAAACGATAAAATAACGTTATTAACCGGTTAATGGCCATTTCAAATTTTCGTTTCTGTTCTGAACTATAAAATTTGATTTCGTTTCTGTTTCTGGTTCTGTTCCTGTCAAAATTTCGTTCGTTTCCAGTTTTCGTTTTAGTTCAGAGCCCTGATTTTTAATTGTATGTGAGAGGGTCAGTGGTAATATCAATGCATTCCGATTGGTCAGTGTTAGAGGAACTCAGCCTAGCCTGACAGTTAGCCTGCTCCGGACCAAGGGCCCGTTCTTTGTACGTCGCATCTGAGATGAATTGAAAGATTTCAGATCTTCTAATCGTGATAACTGATCTCTGGTAATTTGGTTCTTCAAACGGATTTGCGGATTTGATTAAAATATCTGGATTAAGTTTACGGCACGTTCTGGTGTTCCTCGAAAAGGGCAGATGTATCGATACTCGAAACCACGATCAGCAATGCAGCGATTGGCTGACGGCAAGACAGCAACTTATTGACATCATATAATTAAAAAGACACCTGACGAAAACCTTGACAAATTTCTGGACTTTTATAAGGAAACAGCCAAGCGAACAAAACTACATAAATGTTATAATAGATAAATGAAATATGCACTGTTTTTATTTTATTTGTATTTTTTATATGATTCCCAATTATTTATATTCATGATTTCTAGTGTTTGTACAGGTTTTACATTTTTATTTCAATGTTGTAATTAGCAATTCATTTAATTGTATCTTTGAAGCAGATTTGTTACGTGACAGCATTAATTAAAGTTTATTAAGGGTCAAGAAAGATCAAGTTATCTGCATCTCCTGTGCTCCATCAAGCCACTCCCATAATAGCTGTCACCACTCATATTAATGCACGACTCAGATTAATTGTACAGCATGTGTGTAAGACTCTAATACAATTATAAAGTAATTATTTCATCACTAATAAATCTTTCAATTAGTAAAACCGGCTGTGTCTAAAGTATTATAGACTACACAACATTATTACATTATTTTCAAATTAATTTTTAAATTATTATAATTTTTAATTATTGTCCCTGGATCAGTAGGATACTCTTGTAATAAAGTAGCAGTGGTTGGGACAGACTTTAAGTATCAAATCTGCCTAAAAAGATGCAATCTAATCCTGTTTACATGAAATAAGCCTGCTCCCGAGCAGGTTTAAGCTTATGGACCTGTTGCTATGACAGCAACTCC